GGGTCTGTTCTCTTCAGCTTAACTTCAGTTCAGTTCAACTTCAATCAGTTCAGTTAAACTCTTAATTTCCTTCTCTCATAAAATATTCATTTTAGCTTAGTTCAATTCAGTTCAACTCCAATCATTTCAGTTCAGTTCACTAAATATAAACAGGTCCAACTTTAGGGGACCGGCTAAGTCTAGAACAGGGGGTGCCTTTTCTGGACTGTCGGAACCGATATGCTCATCTCCGAATTCCTCCCTCTCTGTGTCTGTGCAGGACACAATGGTCAGAACGAAACAGACGGCCAGAAGGTCTAGGAGCCGGCGCACTATAGAAGTGTCAGCCGACGAGGTTGTTCCCGACGGGGAACAGAGGGATTTGGAGGAGAGCGGTTCTCATGAAGAGACTCCCTCTACTTCCGGGAGCTCGGGGGTACGAGAGGTAGATGGCGAGGGAGCCGCCTCCTCTAATGAAGTCGGAAATGCTGAGGCCGACGAAGGGTCAAGGGCCGGATCTTCAGGCTCTGACCAAGATAACTTTGCGGCTGACTATCAGCAGCCGCCTAAGGTCGCCGACCTACCCAACCCCAAACGGACTAGGATGCTGCCGGGTAACATTGCCCTACTTAAGAGCGGCTTTAGGGCTTTTAAGGAAAAGCATCCCTTTGTTACAGTATATAGAACACGTTCTTAATATGGAAAGAGATTTTTATGGCTTTTGTGTTTATCCTTTTTAGAGAAAATTACTCCGTAAATAAATTTTTTTTTTCCTTATTTGTTACTCCGTATTTGATAAGGAGTGTACATAAAATATGGCGTTAAGGGAGTCACGAAAAACGGTGATGAAATTCAATCAACCCTAACTAACCCAAAACCTTTAACCTGAAATAGTTGGCATTGCCAATTGAGAAACCAAATTTTAAATTAGAAATCAATTAAAAAACAAAAAAGTGAAGAATCAGAGCTTTGCGATATACATATCATTTTTTTCTGCAAAAAAGCTAGCTTGATCGCCATTTGTTTACAAATAAATTAATTTAATCATTTTAACAGAAACCAGAAGATAATAATTAAAGTGCTTTTAACTATAAGCTCTCTGAAAAGCACCAGTATTAAAGAATGTAACATAAATATATAAATATAATGTTGCATTATAATTTAGTTTAGTTAGTACTCTCTGACATATTAATCAAAAACAGTTCAGTAATTTAGTAGTTATGTTAATTATTATATATTACTAAGTGCTTACAATTAGTAGAAACTAAGTGGAGTAATTTGCTGTCAATAAGAATCAGCAGATATGGCCCAAGATTTTCTGATGACAAGTGGAACTAACACCAATTATTTATTAACTTTGTTGATTTTAAATAAGATAATAAGAGTACTATACAAGTGTACATAGTGATTAGTGATAGTTTAGAGCATAAATTCAGAAACCCTTGATTAATTACACAAATGTGGTAACTGGCCTGGGGTTATTTTCTGTTCGCTACAATTAGGAGTCGTTTGTATAATTATTATATTAGGAATATAGAAAAATATATTATTGATTGCACTCAAACCAACTTTTATTTTAAAATTAAGGGTAAATTAATAGCATCAAAACAATCAAATGACACCGATCTACAAAATATTTCAGAAAACAAATCTTTTTTTTTCTTCTAAAAAACAAGTTGTGAACCATTTGAAATTGTAAACAAATAGGATACATAATTTCGTATTGTGAAGTAATTTGATATTTCTTGCATTATTGAGAACGATATTTTAGATTCGTAACTGTGATTTGGGTTGGATTAATTCGATACTTTGTAATTTACATCAAAATTAAATTGACATTCTATCCATCTCGTTTAATTTGTTATTTTTATTTTGTTGAGGATGTGAGTGATAGGTTTTTTTTTTCTCCTTAATGTTTTACGGAATATACTTGTACTGTAACAAAATTGATTTTGAGTAAGTGAGATTACAATTTGGGACAACTTTATAGGAAAAATAATATGTGAATAATTCAAAAGGTAGTATTATACATGAATTACGAAATATAATTGTAAGCTAGATTTGATTCCTTGAGTTACAATTTGGATATAAATATAAGTAAAGTAATTGGATACATATATATATATATATATATATATATATAGGGGAAGACTCTCGTGAGAATTTTTCTTATATGAGAATTTTTCTTATGTGAGAACACTCTTTATGTTCTAAATTTTTACTCGTATGTTCTAAATTTTAAATTTGATGTTCTAAACTTTTTTTTAGGTGTTCTAAATTAAATCAAATGTTCTAATTTATTACTCACATATTCTAAACCATAAATTAGTTAAGCTTGATGTCATAAATTTTAAATAACTTGTTCCAAACTTTTAACTTTATGTTCTAAATTTTAAAACGTGTGTTCTAAGATTTTTAATTATATGTTCCAGATTTTCTAAGATTTTTTAATTATATGTTCCAGATTTTAAAGCGTATGTTCTATTTTTTTTACTCGTATGTTCTAAATTCTTTACTCACACTTTCTATATTCAATATCAGTTTGTTCTAAATTTTTATTCACATGTTCATAATCTTAAATCAAGTGTTCTAAATGTTACTCATATGTTTAAAATTTCATAAAGCAAATTTTATAAATTTTTAATCACTTGTTCTAATTCTTAAATCAGATGTTCTAACATATTACTCACACAAATGTTCTAAATTATTACTCATATGTTCAAAATTTTAATTTGATTCACATGTTCTAAATTTTAACTCGTATGTTCTAAATTTTAACCCACATGTTCTAAATTTTAAATCAGTTCTCATATAAGTATGAATTCTCACATATGGACCTATTCTCACCGGATCCCTCCCTTATATATATATATATATATATATATATATATATATATATATATATATATATATATATATATATATATATATATATATATATATATATACACTAAATTTGCATGGTCTAGAAATTATTGAACATTAAATTAAAGTAAAAATAAATTTCTTCCAACAAAAAAAATGAAACTTTGGTACTAGATGAGATATGGTGGGTTGAGGATTGTGGGGTAATAAATATAAAAATAATATGCCAGCTAAAATGTAGGGAGGTTCAAAGTGTTTAACCGATCGGAGACAAAAGAAGAATTTGTTGCTTAGTGATGGTGTTCTTCTGCAATTACGACAACAAAGCGTGGGCTTAACTACTTCTTACGTTAACAGCGGCCCAAATTAAGAAATTTACTAATATTAATAGTTAAACTTGAAAGCAATTGGTTAAACACCATTTAATTATATAACAACCTTTTAAGAATCCATATAACAATCTAATATTATATATATAAAGGGGAGTTTTTTCCAGAGATTTTAAAGAGCCACGTAGGATTTTGTAAAAAAAAATAGAGCGCCACATATTTATGTGTGCCACGTAGGATGAAATAAAAACAATAAAATGACAAATTAAATTTTCATACTAATCTAATGATTTATCTAATTATTTCAAATAAAATATGTTAGTCCTTTATAAATTTATTAATTCTACCCTACCATTATCTTTCTACGGTTCAAAGAGCTTTACAAAAAAAATGAAAAATTAAAATTATCATACTAATCTAATGATATTAAAAAAAAACATAATTACAAAAAATCATAATCTAATATTATATATATAAAGGGGAGTTTTTTCCCGAGTTTTTAGAGAGCCACGTAAGATTTAATTTTTACGAGATTATTAATTTCTTTTAGAATTAAATAATTTAACTGACACGTAAGCAAAATTTGCGAATGAGATTATCCAGTTTAAATTAATTAAATATAAAATATTATCTTTTAATATTAGGAGTTTTATCCAAATATTTAACAATTTTTAGCACATAAATATATATATGTAAAAATATTATTTTAAAAATTCAAACAAATCGTGCATCGCACTGGCTTCATCTAGTAGTGTATAATGGAGACTATTGTTATAATGGAGGAACTCTATGTATTTTCTATATTGCGTTGGACTTTGATATAGCTAGAGGAGTGAGAGCCCAAATTGTATTTTGGCTTCCCACTAATTTTCTATAAGTTGTACTACCTCCGTCCCCGAAAGAACGACCCATTTGGCCTAATTTTAGTCCCAAAAAGAATGACCCATTTGCATTAAAATCCCCACCAATTTGCAATAATATTTGTGCGAAATTAGCTTCCCCATGTAAAATTTTGTTTCTCTTTATACTTTTATTACTTTTTTTTCTCTACTTTTTTACAAACCCCATGTAAATTTATCTTTCCAATATACTTTCACTTCTTTTCATTTAACTTTCTTAATACCCGTGAAATCAACCCAAATGGGTCGTTCTTTCGGGGACGGAGAGAGTATGACTTTGTCCGTTTTTGAATAATAATAATAATAATAATAATAATAATAATTAGATCATGCTAAGTTTTCACATAGTGTGTGCATTTGTTTTTTATTAGTACAGCTCTAGCTCATAGGGTCAAAATTGAAAAAAAAAAAAAAAAAAAAATCCAAATGTTGATCCTCCAAGTTTTCACACAACAGTATAATTTGTCGGAGACTTTAAAATTACAAGAAGAATTAATACAAAACCTCCCCACATTCCACTCTTTCTCTCTCCTTCCTTTCCCTTATCATGTCACTTTCTTGCTTCTCTTTCTTTTTTTCTACACAAACAAGCAACCAAACAAACAAAAACAATTACAAAATCAATGAATTTTGAAAACACATCTTCTGTCACTCACTCACTCACTCTCTCCTCTCTCCAATTTAACACAGAATCACATGTAAATTCTTATTACCAGTAGTAATTGTCAACTATTCTTGGGATGGTGTTTCCCACAAGCTTTCAACCCCTTTAATTAAAAAAAAAATATATTAAAAACCCATCTTGAAGAGAGAGAATGATGAAGTGGGTGTGAATTAATTTTTAATATTATTCATTATTTATTTTTTATTTTTTTGCATTTTTTTTGGAGTTATAAAAGAAGCTCAAATTTGGGTTGGTTTGCAAATAATGTCACAAGAAGAATCTAAAGAGATAAAGACAATTGAACAATGGAGATGGTCGGAAATGCATGGTCTTGAGCTTTCAGGCTCTTCAAATAACAGCACTACTCTTAACTCCAATCCTCCTACTCATCTTCAAGAATTCCAAGCTTCAAAGATGGAAGCTACTGATGGCAATGGAAATAGTAATATCAATGCAAAAAGAGATGCACAATCGTCGTCTTCGGGATCAGCTGATAAACCCAAAGAAGGACCGCCTCCGGTTGCGTTCAAAGAGTTATTCAGATTTGCTGATAAATTGGATTGTATTTTGATGGGAATTGGTTCTCTTGGTGCTTTTGTTCATGGCTGTGCTTTACCCCTTTTTCTTAGATTCTTTGCTGATCTTGTTAACTCTTTTGGTTCTTACTCTAATAACCCTGATAAAATGATGCAAGAAGTTTTAAAGGTACACTTCATTTACTTTTTAATTAATCTCTAATCTATATATTTTTTACTCAATTTTTTTTGATTAATTTCTCTTTTTGACAATTTTTTGTAGTATGCATATTATTTTCTTGTTGTTGGAGCAGCAATTTGGGCTTCTTCTTGGGCAGGTAAATTTTTTAATTTGTGATTTTTTTGGGGGGTTTTAGTTCATAAATTTTTTCTCCCATTTTTTGTGGACTAAAATTAAATTAAATTTTGTTATATGATATGGTGTATAGAAATTGCATGTTGGATGTGGACTGGAGAGAGGCAATCAACAAAGATGAGGATTAAGTACTTGGAAGCAGCATTGAGTCAGGACATTCAGTACTTTGATACACAAGTTAGAACTTCTGACATTGTTTTTGCTATTAACACTGATGCTGCACTTGTTCAAGATGCCATCAGTGAGAAGGTACAATTTTATTGTATTTGGACCATATTTCATACACATAATTTTTGTTCTATTATATGGTTGAATTATTGCTGAATATGATGTTGTTTTTGATGAAATTGCAGTTGGGTAGTTTTATACACTACTTAGCAACATTTGTGACTGGTTTTGTGGTGGGATTTACTGCTGTGTGGCAATTAGCTTTGGTAACTCTTGCTGTTGTTCCTCTGATTGCTGTTATTGGTGGAATTCACACTACTACATTAGCTAAGTTGTCTAGCAAGAGCCAAGGAGCTATGTCTCAGGCTGGGAATATCGTCGAACAGGTATGATTTAACGAGATTTTTTTGAAAGTTCTGTTGAATTTGATCTTTTGAGCATGTTTTATGGATAATTTGCTGATCTGGGTATGTTTCATTTGGTACTAATTTGCAGACAATTGTTCAAATTCGGGTGGTTTTCGCGTTTGTGGGTGAATCAAAAGCCTTACAGACGTATTCGGCAGCATTGAAGATTGCCCAAAAGCTTGGGTACAAGAGTGGATTAGCAAAGGGTTTAGGATTGGGAGGAACTTATTTCGTGGTGTTTTGTTGTTATGCTCTACTTCTTTGGTATGGAGGCTATCTTGTTCGGCACCATTTAACTAATGGAGGTCTTGCCATTGCTACTATGTTTGCTGTCATGATTGGTGGAATGTAAGTTTACTATCAATTGTTTCCGATTTTGTTGCAGACTTTTTATAATTGCGAAATTTTGATTAATATTGTACTAATATGGTTAATCAGAGGTTTGGGACAATCAGCACCGAGTATGAGTGCGTTTGCCAAGGCGAAAGCTGCAGCTGCAAAGATTTTTATGGTAATCGATCACAAACCAAGTATTGACCGAATCAAGGAATCAGGAATCGAATTGGAATCAGTTACGGGGCAAATCGAGCTCAAAAACGTCGAATTTGCATATCCATCAAGGGTGGATGTGAAAATTCTCAACAACTTCTCACTTTCAGTACCTGCTGGAAAAACCATAGCTCTTGTTGGTAGTAGTGGATCTGGTAAAAGCACTGTTGTTTCTCTAATTGAGAGATTTTATGATCCCACTGAAGGTAAAAGCAATAATATGTCATTTATTTTCTTACAAATAAATGAAGCATTTTTTCATTGGGTAGTTTGATAATAAATATTTGGTATGCAGGACAAGTATTTTTAGATGGGCATGACATTAAAACATTAAAGCTGAGATGGCTGAGGCAGCAAATAGGGTTGGTGAGCCAAGAACCCGCTTTATTTGCAACCAGCATCAAAGAAAACATACTCCTAGGCAGACCAGATGCTAGCATGGTCGAGGTCGAAGAAGCTGCCAGAGTCGCCAATGCCCATTCATTTATCATTAAGCTTCCTGATGGCTTTGAAACTCAGGTAAGATCAATTTCACCCTTTTCTGAAAAATGTTGTATATCTTTGATACGAATCTTGTAATCGGTTCACAAGGCGGTTGGCTGAGGGGGCGGGCGGGGAGGTGGGTGTGTGATTGTTCTTGCTTAATAGTTGTGGTTTCTGATGTTAATGATAACTCATGTGTTTTTGCACATATTATGGTTAAGAGTAGTGGTCTAAGTTTTAAACTTAGGAACATTGACCAGATATGGTTGTGGATTCGAGGATCTGACTTAGCTATTAATTCTATCTATTCTTGGTCTGAATTATTGTGTCCAATGTTTTCCTGCTTTGTTTAAGTTTTGGCTTGCGTATTGCCCACAATAAAAGAGTTTGCATAAGAAAAGGAAGTAAATAGCGTACAAGTTCGATATATAACAGTGTAAAATTTACCATTTTACACTTTTCTTTAACAATTTAAGGGCGTTGCAATTGTTCCACAAAGAGTTAAATTTTACTGTTAAATAAATAGCTCGAGTCTTTGAATAACCATAAGAAGGGAATAAGAGGATAGTTCATTATTTTATACCTTGGATAAAAGAATATACTAGCCTACTACTAGTATCTCTCATGTTCATTTTTTTTATCATTAATTATTCAATTTCTATGATTATTTTATTTTGTTGTTTTTCATTCCTTATGGAGTACTCCATATTAATTTCATATAACTAGCAAGTAGTAATACTAAAAAGATAGTCGTGAGATAGCCGGACTTTTAGATTCTATTGGTTTATTGCTGTGTTACAGGGACATTTAGATCCTTTTATATACGGAGTATTCGAAAAAATAAAGTTAGGCGTGATTTCTTTCTTATGTAACTCAAAATAATGGGATGATTGGTCAACAAACAAAACCTAACACTTTCTCCCTTTCAAAAAAGTCAATGCAATAGAAGGTGTTTGGTCATGCATTTAAAGAAAAGGTAACATGTCCCAGTCAACAATGCATGTGCAGATATTAATAGCATACTCTTCTGAAACAAGGACCATTTGGACTAGAGCAATTTGTCAGTTAGTATTATATTTCCCACTCACTGCCATTCTTTTACTTATCTCTGTCTTGATTTATTTATTTAATTAGTAATATTTCCTTGCTTTTCTTTTTCTTTTTCATTTTTTGGGTTTAATTGTCAAAGAGAGTTAAGTAAATGTTATACTAAGTATAATTATTGGTGTTTCCACTACAAATTTTCTTCTTCTGATTATAAAACTCCCTCAATTTGAGGGTCTTCGAAGACCGAAAACAGCTTCTTCAAACTTCAAAGCCTTGTTGAATTATTATACAAGTACTAAAATTTTGAAATTCTGTCACCTTAAGTTAAAAGAATTAATAAAATGGTTTGAGAATCAAGCAAGATTCCTTATTACGAAGTTTGACACATTATATGCATTATCAAATATGCTATCCTATTAGCAATGCTTGACAAAATCATGTGTCAATATCTAGTAGAGTTTAGTGCAGTATTTGGGCATATCAGTACCTTAATCTTTTAGAGAAAATATACTTGTATGGTTAATACAATCTTATTTTATTTTTCTGTAGAAAATTTCCTACTGTTGCTGGGAATGAACTAAAATTTTATGTGACTAAACATGGACTATAATTGATTTTGACAAGGAATAGCAACTTTCTGCTTCCAGTTCATTGATTTTACTGTACAATTATTTACTCACCAGTAGGCTTGCTGCGAACTAAATACAAAAAAGTTGACAGGAATTTTGATAAATAAAGTTTGATAAACGTTCTGAAAATGACAGGTTGGGGAGAGAGGCTTGCAGCTCTCTGGAGGACAAAAACAAAGGATTGCTATTGCCAGGGCAATGCTTAAGAACCCGGCAATACTGCTTTTAGATGAAGCCACTAGTGCATTAGATTCTGAATCAGAAAAGCTCGTCCAAGAAGCTCTTGACCGGTTTATGATCGGCAGAACAACTCTTGTTATTGCCCACCGTCTCTCCACAATTCGCAAGGCTGATCTTGTGGCTGTACTTCAACAAGGAAGTGTATCAGAGATTGGAACCCATGATGAACTTATGGGCAAAGGCGAAAATAGTGTTTATGCCAAGCTCATTCGCATGCAAGAAACGGCTCATGAAACAGCCATGCATAATGCCAGAAAGAGTAGTGCCAGGTACTATCTTTGAACAATCGTCTAGGACAATCATCCTATTCAAATTCAAACTAGATATTCCTGCTTTCTGCTGAACATACATCAGTCCTATTTAATTTGAGGAAAGAAAACGTGTTATGGTTATCATTCTCTACTAAATATCAATCTTAAGGATCATGATATAAAAAACTTGCCAATCAAACAAATTGAGAAAAGAAAAGCTAGGGTTTGACATAAAGTTAGAAGCTATGCAGAGTTTAGTAAGTTTTATAAAGAGGAACTTAAAAACTAGTCACAAGAATTATAAAACCCGACAAAAAAAGCTGGAAATTACTTGTTCTGGTTCTGATAAAACAGAAAGTGTAACTTGTGACTTTGTTAGTTATAATAGCTTAAATTGTGTACATCTGAAGTAGTTATGACCTTGTACTTTATCTTGCAGGCCTTCAAGTGCCAGAAACTCAGTTAGTTCACCAATTATTGCACGGAATTCTTCATATGGTCGTTCACCTTATTCACGTCGGCTCTCTGATTTCTCCACTTCTGATTTTAGTCTCTCTATTGATGCCACCCATGGAAGTTACAGGCCTGAGAAGTTGGCTTTCAAGGAGCAAGCCAATTCCTTTTGGCGTCTTGCTAAAATGAATGCTCCTGAATGGCCTTATGCTTTGGTTGGTTCTGTGGGCTCCGTTATCTGTGGTTCACTCAGTGCCTTCTTTGCCTATGTTCTTAGTGCTGTCCTTAGTGTCTACTACAACCCAGACCATGCTTTTATGATCAGAGAAATTGCCAAGTATTGCTACTTACTAATTGGACTTTCATCTGCTGCCCTCATCTTTAACACGCTACAGCATTTCTTCTGGGATGTGGTTGGGGAAAATCTGACGAAAAGGGTTAGGGAGAAAATGATGGCAGCTGTGATAAAAAATGAGATGGCATGGTTTGATCAGGAAGAAAATGAGAGTGCCCGAATCGCTGCTAGGCTTTCTCTTGATGCTAATAATGTTCGATCGGCTATTGGAGACAGGATTTCTGTTATAATGCAGAACTCCGCTCTTATGCTTGTTGCTTGTACTGCCGGGTTCGTTTTGCAATGGCGTCTTGCTCTTGTACTTATTGCAGTCTTCCCTGTTGTCGTTGCTGCTACTGTTCTGCAGGTTTGTTACTCTTTCCTGATTATTTCAAAGTCTCCCCGCCAAAAATTAGATAAATTTAAGGACATGCTTATGCAATTATATATAGTGCTTAAAATTAATGATTTTCCAATATAATCAATGAGAAAATTTGATTAAGGAATATAATACCTGTGCAATTATATAGAGCATGAGTTCCAAGTATGACCCCTCCTACCTTTCCCCTGTGGCATAATCCCAATGCAAAAAAAAAAAAAAAAATGAGCATGTTAATTAGTCTACTTTTCCAGAATAAGTCACAGTTATGTTTGAAAATTGTATATGGCATGCTTGAAAAGATAAAAAGAAGGATTGTGCAACCATCAACTTCCCATGTGATAGTTGCTAAACAAGACAGTAACTTTATCAGTTCATTTAATTTTTATTATTTTTTTATAATTAAGGTGATGGTTCCTAATGTATGTATTAACCTGGTAACAGAAAATGTTTCTGAAAGGTTTCTCTGGAGACCTTGAAGCGGCTCATGCCAAGGCTACACAGTTGGCAGGAGAAGCAGTGTCAAATGTCAGAACTGTAGCTGCTTTCAACTCGGAAACGAAAATTGTTGGCCTTTTCACTAGAAATCTTGAAATTCCTTTACGGCGTTGCTTCTGGAAGGGACAGATTGCAGGTAGTGGATACGGAATAGCTCAATTTGCTCTTTATGCTTCATATGCTCTTGGTCTCTGGTACGCTTCTTGGCTTGTGAAGCATGGAATCTCTGATTTTTCTAAGACAATTCGGGTTTTCATGGTCCTTATGGTATCTGCCAATGGAGCTGCTGAGACATTAACCCTAGCACCCGATTTCATCAAGGGAGGACGTGCAATGAAGTCTGTGTTTGAACTTCTTGATCGAAAAACTGAAATTGAACCTGATGAACAGGATGCAACACTGGTTCCTGAACGCCTTCGTGGAGAGGTAGAACTCAAGCATGTTGACTTTTCCTATCCCACACGTCCTGACATATCTGTCTTCCAAGACATCAACTTGCGGGCACGAGCAGGGAAGACTCTTGCCTTAGTAGGCCCCAGTGGATGTGGTAAGAGTTCTGTGATTTCCTTAGTGCTGAGATTTTACGATCCATCATCTGGGAGAGTTATGATTGATGGTAAGGACATCCGAAAGTATAACCTCAAGTCCCTAAGGCAGCACATGGCATTAGTCCCACAAGAACCTTGCCTCTTTGCCACCACAATATATGAAAACATCAAGTATGGCAACGAAAATGCAACAGAAACTGAGATAATAGAAGCAGCAACCCTAGCAAATGCTCACAAGTTCATATCAGCCATGCCTGAGGGCTACAAGACCCAGGTAGGGGAGAGAGGAGTTCAATTGTCCGGGGGACAAAAGCAGAGGATTGCACTTGCCAGGGCATTTGTGAAAAAGGCAGAGATAATGTTGCTCGATGAAGCTACGAGTGCACTTGATGCAGAGTCAGAGAGGTCTGTTCAGGATGCATTGGACCGTGCATGCTCAGGGAAGACGACGATTGTGGTGGCCCACAGGCTATCAACTATTAGAAATGCCCATGTTATTGCTGTTATTGATGATGGGAAAGTAGCGGAACAAGGATCACATTCACACCTGTTAAAAAACTATCCAGATGGGTGTTACGCCAGAATGATACAGTTACAAAGGTTCTCACACGGTCAGGCCATAGGGATGGCATCAGGATCAACCTCTTCCACACGACCACGAGAAGATGAGGGGAGGGAAAACTGATGCTGAAAAAAGGTGGAAGAATTTCCAAATTTAGTAAAAAGATAGGAAAAGGAAAGGAAGAGGAAAAAAAAAGTATACCCACATATCCCTTCTCATCAGTTTGGAATTCTTGATTTTTGCTGTCATATATAGCTTCTTGTGTATGTGTTATCTAATTTAGCTTATGAAATATAGTAATTTTATCCAAAAGGTTCATCGTTTGGATCCAACTTCCTAGCTATTGTACATGCAACACATCCGAAAGGTATCGATCCGCCCTGATTTGGTCACTAGGATTTAGTACGGGTACAGATTCCACATATATGTAATTCGAGTGATGAATTGTCATATTGATGATGAATACATGAAATGAAGTTTTTAAATGACATGAATATAACACGAGTACTTCGTATTTTGTAGGCGCCTGTCTTTTTCTTCTTTAGAACAAGTCGATCATATTAGGTTAAGTTAGGATAATTAATTAATTATATGTCTTAGAACTAGGTAATGTAATAATGAAGTTAAGGTAGGGATTTGGAATCAAATAATTGGACACTACAAAATCAATTTTGTTAGGTTTATGGGTAAAGTATGACAAAAATTGAGATGGGTTAGGCAGTTAAGAGACGTAACTTTTTTAAGCAACTAAATTTCCATAACGTAATATAATAAATACGAAATATTTGTCTACGAACGTAATTTGACGCTCCATAAGATGAAGTAAAAGACAATTGAAGGAGGGATGCATTACATTATTCATTATTGCACCCATAGAATTTTAGTAAGCACAAAATAGTACAAGTAGAAGATTAAATGAGGAAATTGGTTGTGGGCATGGAAAATAATAAAGGGTAACAGAGCATGCGGAAGAGTGATATAAACGGGGGAGCAAAATAATTTAAGTATTTGGTTTCATTGTGGTGGTTGCACATTCATAATATCACACATGAAAAAGTGAAAGTGGACTCTTAGAAATGACACATTACTAACTTGAAAAATACAAGTAAATTAAAAAGATGGAGTTTCTTTTGGGTTAAAAGGACACAAAAAAGTGGGCTTCTTATAGTCGGGGTGTGCATGAGCCAAGGAGTTTTTTTTTTTTTTTTTTTTTTTTTTTTTTTTTTTTTTTTTAATGAAATTTTTTTGTATACATTCGGTTTACATTAATGTACATCGAGAAGTATAAGGGTAACTTTTAGCTAATTTTAGGGTAATATTTTGCCTTTTTTTAGATAACTTTAAATATGATACAATTTATATGTAAATAGACAATAAGAAAATTTTTATAAAAGTAATTTAAATACATTCAATCATTAATAATTGATTTTTAGACATTTAAAATGTGATTGTTTACTTTTTTTTTAGACAATAAATGTGATTGTTTACTAATGAAGTATAGATAAATTTTTTTCCTCAAAAAAAAAAAAAAAAAAAGTGTAGATAATTTTTATTTGATACTTTTATACATATTGGGGTAACTTTTATACATATCTACTTTTTTTTTTAGACAATAAATGTGATTGTTTACTAATGAAGTATAGATAAATTTTTTTCCTCAAAAAAAAAAAAAGTATAGATAATTTTTATTTGAATTTAGTTATTTTTATACATATTAGGGTAATTTAAAAAAATATAGGTAACTTTTGATCACTTTAGGCTATCGTTATAATGGATGTACAATAATTATTGTACATTCGATTTTTTTTTTTTTTTTTTTTTTTTAGTTTGTGTTTTTTAATTAATTATTTTTTCTTAAAAAAAAAAACAACAACAAAAATTGAAAAGGAGATTTAGATGGAGAAAATGACATTTAAATTATTCTGCTCTTAAAAGCATGCATATGTTTATGCTTTAGATGGGTGTGAGTGGTCCCAAGTGACCACTTATGTTTTAAATTATGAATATAGTGAATTTTTCGCAAATATTTTTTTATTATTTTTATTTATTTATATACATATTTTTTTTTAAATACTAGTAATTCTTTAAGAGCAAAGGAACCTACAACAAAGGATGATCAAATGCGGAAGAGTAATTGTTCTGCCTTGTGCTGTGAATAAAAAAAGTCAGCTTGTATTTTGCTCATTTCGAAATGAGTAAATAAACATAATCTTCCTTTCAAAAAAATAAATAAATAAATATATAAATAAACATAATCTTTGTCTAGAATATACCTATTATTAAATTTACTTTATTACTTGTAGGAAATCATATGGTACCTATGCCCTAATGGTTGTTTCATATTTCTCCTTATTTATAGGGGGTTATTCATCACCACAAAATTAAGGGACAACAAGCCCATTAATCTTGGCATATGTCTATGCCCTTTAATGACGTTATAACTCGGTGGATAATTATTTTGGTGAGTGTACTTTACTAAATTTTGCATTTTGGTGAGTGTACTCAATGACTAATGCCCAGAACCACTTGAATACTATAATAATGTGTGAACTTAGGCTAAGCTAATAACATGTTCTCTTCGGCTTAATTTCAGTTCAGTTCAACTTCAATCAGTTCAGTTCAGTTTAGTTCCTAATTTCCTTCTCTCATAGAATATTCATTTCAACTCTATTCAGTTCAGTAAATCAAAACATACCCTTAAACAGAAATTATTTTTACTAACTAAACTCATTTTCATTAAATTACTGATTGAAACTTATCGTTAATCACCTATATGGGAGATGGTAACTAAAACAAGCCAACGACAAAGATTTCAAATCTTATTGTAGATTATATTATGTCATATTGTAACGACGTGACCCTTCTATTATGGCTAATTTAGATCTAAATGTAGACCATTTCATAAAAGATGACCACTCTTGGGACATAGAAGCTCTGTGGTGGATAGTAAAGTGAGATTGTTATACTGATTCGAGGTACCCTTTCTTGTGGATCTAATTGATGAACTTTGCTTGGGGGTCTCTACTCTCTAGTAATGAGAATTTTACTTCGAAAATTCTGGAATTTGGCTTGCACCTAATAACAATATAAATGGAAATTAGTTAGATTTGGAAGTTAGATATTTCCCCAATATTGTAAATCGTTCTTTGGCATTACTCCATAATGTCTTGCCTACTAGCGAATGTAGAGATATTATTCACATTGCGTAAAACAATTTGACCATTAAAATCTTGGGCATCTGAAGCTAATAAATTACCTGGGATGCCAGCTACCTGTGTAAAGACTAAACAAAATTCCCCAATCTAGTAAAGCATACAAAATTCCAACTTCATAGAATCAGAGAGAAGGAATAGAAATACATCTAAAATATCCTCGTAAAAAAAAAAAAAAAAAAAAGTACTCCCAAGGTTTTGTGTTTTCTATGTTGTGCCCTCATAATCTAAACTTCTACACAGCACCCACAAAGTTTAATACTTCGTATATTATTTAATATATGCCCTTCATAAGCTGTTTTGTTAATGGTAAAAGGAATAGAAATACATCTTTTTTTTTTTTTTTTTTTTTTGTTGGTGTTTAGAGAGCCACAAGGGCGGGTGATGAGAATCGATCCCACGATCACTTGGATCCGGGAGGGGAGCTCTAACCACTTGAGCTATCACTTACTTTCAAAAAATAGGTTTTTCTACATAGTACCCCTAAGGTTTTGTATATTCTATGTTGTGCCCTCCTAAATCTAAACTTCTACACGACGCCCACAAGTTCAATACATTGTTTAATATATGCCCTTCATAAACTGTTTTGTTAATGGTAATTAACGCGTGATTAGGTTAACCATCCACCATAGTTAATAACTAATTAAATTCAAAGGAAATAATATAAATTAAAATAGAAAATTAAAACCCCTTTTGATCAAACCCCACGCATTCCATCTTTTGCCCCTGCTTAATTCAAACCATAAGTTTTTTGCTCAAAAAATCAAAGCTAATTTGGATTGATTAATACAATAATATCTCCAAATTCTTCTTTGCATACGACGAATTGTGGTGCTGAATAGGAGGGGTTTACACTCTTTACGGGGAGTGGGAATTGTGGGTTTTGGAGGAAGGTTGCAGGGAAATGAATTGGTTATGGTTTTGGGTTGCTGTAGAAGTTTAAGAAAGAAATAAGAATGGTGAGGGTCATTAGATGTGAGTTTGGGGAAGATAGTATTGCCAAATTAATCTTATTTCTAACCACTTTTTTTTTAAGAAAAGGTAAAAATATAATACATTGCTAACCATAGTTAATAGTCAATTAAGAGTATTTAATTAACATTATTTTTAAAGAAGGTTAAAACTGATTAATTTAACTAAGGGCTTGTTTGACATCATTTTTTGCTTTTAGTTTCCTGTTTTTTTTGAAAACTAAAAACAAAAAACATGAAACAAGAAAAAGATATTTCCACTTTTTTGTTGTCAGTTTTCAAAATTATCATGATTTTAATAAGTCTAAATAATTTTTGATTCATTATGTGACATATATAATATACTATTTAAAAACAAAAAACTAAAAAACAGAAAACCACAGCAATGTCAAACGAACCCTAAACTTGTGGGTACCGTGTAGAAATTTGGATTTAAGACACAACGTAGAAAACGCAAAACCTTGAGGGTACTATGTAAAAAAACCAAAAAAAAAAAAAAAAAATATGTAAGAGCAAGTTTAGCCCCAAGTCTTAAAACTTGGATGCGACATCATTTTTAGTGATCCCCATTGAAAATGATGTTATCAAATTCTTGTTAACACTTACTGAGACTTACACAAATTTATCACTTTAGTCCTAAGACTTAAATATTTGACATATTATATGTAGAAAAGTGTAAAAAAAAAAAGGATAATAAAAATAAAAGTAAAGTTGGTAAAGTAGGTCCCAATCTTAAGTCTTAACTTGAGTTTTGAAATTTCAAAACTTAACTTGAGACTTGCTTGAGATTTTTAAAGAAAAATGTTAAGTATAAATCTTAAAACTCGAAAATAATGATGTCACTCCAAGTCTTAATACTTGGGGCTAAACTTGCTCTAATATCAAGGACAATTAAAGGATGCCTACTGATGGTAACACTTAACATAACAACCCCCCCCCCCCCCCCCCCCTTTTTCGAGGTTGAGCTACAATATTCTCGCAATGAGGAAGGGGGTGGGGCAAAGGTTAGAGGACATTCAGCCTGCTACGATTAGAGCTGGAATGGTCCAGCACTCAAGCAGGAGTAAAATCAGCAAGACTGTTTGGGGCAGGAATGATCCACCAGTAGTAAAATCAGCTAAACTGTTTGGGTCTAGAACGGTCCAGAAGGAGGCGGAGGCGGAGGCGGAGGCAAAGCAATTAAACCATTCGTAAACACAATGTACAGTAGACAGCTAAAAAAAAAAAACCAGCAACAAGTTTATAATAAAGCCTGAAAGTATTCTTACTAAGCCAACTTTTTTTAAGATTCTCTGATCTTGCTACATTTTTTGAACAAAAATATTTATCATTTAAGGGAAAAAGAAGATTTCACAATTCACATAGACATTAACTTTGGACCATTATCCGGCATGCCCATACCAGCAGCTAGTTCGGCATCAAGTTGCGTGTGCGGTGCAGGTCCTAACATAATCTTCAAACTGCTCGAATGAAAATAATATTGAGTAAATATACAAACAATGATCATGCTTAGGGATGTCAATTTAATGCTTAAAACAACAAAGGAGATAAAAAGGGAAAGAAAGGTAGGGAGGGAGTAGGGGGAACTGAGAAGTCAAATGCTTAATACTCTTATAGCTGCTAAGCACTCCCCATGAGCATTGTAATGCTGTCACAAATTCACAGCCAATTAACATGTTTAACTAAAATCACCTTTTTAATACTACCTCCATTTTTTATTATGTGCAACAGAGGGTATTATTTGTGAGACATAAAATATTCCTTTGTTGCACATAATAAGAAACGGAGGTAGTAATTGCCCATAGTACTCTCTCTTGTTCATTTATTCAAAATGGGGGCACCATGCAAAATTGAAACATAATTTATTTCCAATTCACAATATATGATGGCTTTTTTTAACTGTCTTTGGACTATTATTGAACAATTGCATCACAATATAAAAAAGGAAAAAGGGAAACAATTGAGAACTCAGGAACTTGCAACACAATTGCTCAAGATAGTCGAAATCTGGGGATCATCTACACAATCCAGCAGGGTAACAGCTAGGAAAAATAAGATGAAATATATAACCGTTGGATATTAAAACAATATAAACTAACTTTCACCAATGGAGTTCATCTGCAATTCTGCATCTAACAATCAATTTATGATAGGAGGAGATTGCTTCTTAATTTTTTTTTTCCAGAACTGGTTTATCTTTCTTCCATTGATCATCCTTGCTGACAGCCCCAAGAAAGGTTTGTCCAAAGCTGCAATTCATCCTCCAGTCTAAAGGTAAGGCTTTTTCCTAACACCCTTCCAGTTGAGCGTAATAGCATTAGGCCACGGAAGACTACCACATCTGCTGTGCCCATAAACAACATCCCCTTTTTTTGGGGTCAGCATGATTTTGTAACTAGAATCACTGACAGAAAATAGTTGTTTTAACTTGCTACAAATTGTTCCATTTTTTATGGCTGAACAAAAAACCAACAAAATTGCTCAAGACATGCATAAAATTCTTTAATAAGAGCCTATGATAGGCTAGAACAAGATAATTTTTCAATTGAGTATTGCTGTATTTGTTTCATTTATCAGTAGAATATACTTCCTCCGTTTTCTTAAACTTGCAACACAGACTTTAGACACGCAATTCTAGGAGATGATTAGTGAAAGTAAACAAATTATTATATCAAAATAATTTTAATACCGCGAATAGAGAAGGGTCAGGTACTATGCGTAAAAATCTATTAAAAAAAAGGTACTATCAGTAAAAATTATTTTGATTAATTTTATTTGTTTATAATCTCAACCTCAAATTGCGTGTCACTGTGTTGCAAGTAATTAAAAATAGAGGAAGTAATATTTAGTAACATACTGACACAATGTTGTTCTATTGTACAACAAAAAGCTTTGAGATTATACATGCCCAATTATGCTTCTTTTCTAAAAATTGATCATTATTATTCCTAGAGTGTCATTGATATCCAACAAAACACTTTGTCAGAAAGATAAAACTTTTGGCTTAATTTTTGTTAGAATGATAAAACTTTTGGCTTAATTGCTATTCTGAATAGAAGTTTAATCTGATAAACAAAAGGGAGTACTTTATTGAGTTCATAAACCAGGACACACAACACTCACCCTGAATAAGAATCTCAATTTGGCCCAAGTTGGCACAGAAGGGGAACACCAAAACTCTAGCATGCAACTGGGAACAACTACTAAAAACTTCATATTTTCTTTTTTCAAGTATTCTGGTTTTTTAAGCTGCTCATATCATGATTTGTGATTTCACGGTCAGAAGAAAAGTGACAGAAAAATCTGCACCTAATATCACTTGATTAGATTGCTCTCAAGCCCATTATCATCTATCCTTTCCATCCCTGATAAAAACCCAAACTTGAAACACTTGGTTTCTCACTTCAATTACTCTTCATGGATTATACACGAATGACACTTCAATCTCTCCCTCAAATGGGTTAAAAGCCTTACGGTAACACCAATCAACAAAAGGGTCTTGTACCATCCAGTCTTCATTCTACTATAAAATCTCTTACATTCAAAAGAAGGGCGAGACATTGTTCAATATAAACATATGACTATTAATAATCTCCAACTCTTGTTTCTTTCATACAAATATTAATAAGACATAACAAAATTAACCATGGAATATCAGCATGCTTCAAGAAGCATAAACAAACTTGGTAGTTTTACATTGGAACCAACTATGATTATAAAAGGGTTCCAGGCAATAACCTAAATGACCAATGTTAGAAGACTGTTATACTGTCTCATTCTTCAAAATAGAATTCTATCTTGCACTTACTAGCATAATTATCCTGAACTATTTAACTTCAGTCCTGTATTAAACCATTGACAAAACTCAAATGCAATCATCATTTATTGACCAATTGCAGGCATTTGAACATATTTTTTTCACTAAAAACTAAAGCTCAAGCAAAGCCAACTCAAGAACCGTTTATTTCCTCAATAAACAAAACTGGCATCCATCAAATCAAATATTACAATTACTAATATCCTACATTTGGTATTTTGGTCAGTGATAAGCATTAAGCACAGCGCAATTCAACAAGGCTTCCACGTTACCCATGCTCCTAAATACTACTTTCTTCAAAGATACTCTCTAAAGGGCAATTAACCCCAAAACACCAAACTCGATACACTCACCCAAGTTATTGATGATAGCAAGCGAGGAATAAAAAAATCCAGGTCTGAATAACAAACGCAACAAATAGCCTAATCAATCTCATCATGTACGAAACCAAACCATGCACCGAAACAACAGCACTGAAGGCGAAAAAATCACTCTACATCACTGCATCATCAAGTAAAGTAATTCGATTTAGAATCTCATTCTTCCCTTACACACTAAAACCCCAGCCAACTTCACCCCATCAAAATTTCATCCCCAGCAATACAATTCCCAATTCTAATCCCTAACAATAAATTAATGAACAATTTCATACATCAAAATAAATAAAACATTCTAAAAAAAATAGATAAACTAACCCACTAACAAATTTATATTTCCCAATAAATCATAAACTAAGACGAACAAAAATAAATAAATATCAAAATCATAATTAAGAAATTGAGCAAATACAAACCGTTTCTTATGACGTTTGGACTTGAAGTGTTCATCCCTAACAGCAACATTGGAGAAGTAACGATCACAATGAAGGCAATAATACTGACCCATACCAGGTAAATCTTCATCAAGCGGCAATGGCTTTCGATTTTCATCAGGTTTCAGGAGATCATTGTAGACAATATCGTCGCCTTTAACTTCAAATTTGGAACGTCGATGAGTTTTGTGCGAGTATCTTCTCTTCCTGACGCTTCTGTGCGGGCACTTTCCTCCCATTTTCTCTCTCCTCGAGACTTCAACAATAACCAAATTGCTTGTTGTTGGTGCTGCGAAGTTGCAACAATGGAGATTTTTGGGTTGTTTTGCTGGGAAAGAGAAACCCTAGAATTAGGGTTTACCGAAAGGGAGGTAAGGCGACGAATTGATTTGGGGATGTATGGTTGGCTTGGGTTGGAATAGGATTTGGGGTTAGGGTACAGAAGAATGCTCGAATTGTGGCCCAATGCTTTTGGGGCTATTTTTTTGACCTCCTTAGCCCAATGTAAATGAGGCAATCTTAAAACCGAGATTGAACTTTTTGAGTTTGTCCCACCCGATTCGCTGTGGGTGAGTCTCCAAATAAGAGTATTCTGTATTCGACAAGGCTCGAACTTGACACATCCCTAAGCTTTGTTTGGATAGCAAAGAAGGAAGGAAAGAAAGGGGAGGGAAAAAGGAGGAAGAGAAGGGAAAAGAAAGGAAGGGGGAGGTGAACTCCATTTTCCCTCCAAATATCTCCAATTTTGGAGGGATTATGTTTATTAAAGAGAGAGGGAAAATGGAACCCTGTCTCTCCTTCCCCTTCCTTCCCCCAATTCTTTATTCAAACAAGAGAATTTATCCCCTCCCTTTCTCTTATGTTCTTTTCCTTTTATTTCTTAATATCCAAACAAAGTGTTAAGCGATATCAAGCTGCTTACCACTTAAGTCAACTCTTGTTGGTAAACCAAGATTGAATTGAAATCGAAAAATATGAACAAAAAATGTTTAAAATTAGACTTAGTTCATTTCCCTAAAATAAGATGTCCAAGTCTAAATTTTCTAAAGTATGATCTTGTTTTTTCTAATCAAATGTGGTCCGAATTAAGTATGATCCTACAATCTGGATCGCGATTCTAACAGTTTTATATTACTACATTTGTCTTATAAAGTTGAATACATTTATCACCTTTATATACTCAATCTCAATGCATTAAAGGTTATTTGGTTGTAATAATTTACAAAAGAGCAACACTATTTATACAAATACTTTCTTTGTGAGACATGTTTAACATGTGTTGAATTTGATTGTAAAACATGGTTCATATTTGATAAAGAGTTTGAATTCTCGTATTCGTAGTGCCATTAGATATGTGAGGAGCTATCCTTTAAGAGTAAACTTATTTGCACAGCACACTCTGTTGTGCTTGTGAAAGTTTCTTATAAAGGCTCCGTTTGTCTTGATGTATCAACTAGATGGTATTCTATATATCTCATCTCATGCTTAAATCTACTTTGAAATTTGATAAGGATTTTAATATATTCAAGGAAGATAACCCTGATTTTACAAGTAAGAAACTTAAGGATGGAGTTTCAACAAAATATAATTGGGTAAATGTTAAAGTGTTGGCTTTGTGTTCAAAGCAATTTGATGAGTCTACAAAGAAAATATTGGGAAGCTTGTTGTCTCTTCAAACATGCATTTTCATGAGATTTTGGAGTGTTGAATTCTTTGATAGATGAATAGGAGAGCTCTTCAAATATAGATATTTTGTGTTTAAGGAAATTACGTGAATAGGATTAGAAACAAAGCTAAAAACAATAGAAATATTATGTCAGAGTTTTACGTCTTTAGGTTGTCTGGGTATTAGAAAATAGATCGATAGTTATAGACAAAGAAGCAAAAAAAGATAGAAAATAGCCGAAAGCGCAATGCGACACACGTAGATGCATCGTAACATGCTAGAATTGGAATACCACTCTGGAATTGGCATGGCATGTTACAATTAGCGTGTCACGACAAATGTGACGTGTAGTGGCACTTTTCCTTTCTTTTTTTTTAATCGTCAATTTTAAACCCGAACTCAAAGGCAATTAATATTCCGTTGGAAATCAAGTCTACTTTCAAACCCAATTAAAATCAGATCTATGTCATTTTTTCTAGATTCTAAGATATGTCCCAATAGTGCAAGGGTGTCGGGTTCGGACTAAGTTTAGTATTTTGTTCATATCTCATTCATTTAAAATCGGAATTGGACGTATGATACATAATTGGAAAGCTAATTTTAAAGGATATCCAACTATGTAGGATTTGCATTATGAATCGCAAAATCATAATTGCTCAGTTTTAGGCTGCAGCTAGTAGAAAGGGAAATCGGGCTAAGGTTTGTGGATTTTGGGCTAAAAATAGTGTTTGGGCTATAGAAATGACTAAAGTGGCGTAAGAATGATAGAGAAATAGTATAAAAGGGCTATTTAAGTAATTCTTCAATACATTATGCGAACTAGACAAATTTAAGCATTGAATTGAAGGATGTTTAGTCAACGAGCTTTATTTGGGAAGGTATAGTTATGTGTCTATAGAGGTATTATTACTATTAATCATATCTTTATTTAAGGGGAGGTTGTGAGTCCCGCCCCCCCCGAATAGACCTTACTACCCCTCCTCCTTTAAATATGTAAAAGATATAATAAAATGATAAAAAAAAAGGTCGATCAACCAGTCAAGAAAAAAGAAAATAAAGTTCAATAAATAAACAAATAGAAATAACATCCAAAAATTATGGCAATCAAATACTTGAATCACATTATTTATATCTAAATATAAATAAATCGAACCTTTTAATTTAGGAAAATTTGTCAAAAATAAACCAACCTTTATCTTTTTAGCTCAAAATAAGCCAACTTTTTAATCAAATTTTTCACCATATGCCCCTAAGTTTTTTGTTTATTCACCATATACCCTAGAATATTTTCAAATTCACCATATACCCCTAAGTTGTTACAAAAATTCTCCTTATACCCTTGATGATTAATGATTGTTAACTTAGTTAGTAGTTATGGTTAATAATGACCCGAAATCACCTTAAATACATTCACTTACCCCCGAAACCACCCACATTTCTTTTTCCTACCCCCTAAATGTAATACCTCGTATTTTTAACGTATTTTATATATTATTTATTTAATTATTAAATATAATTTTGGGTTATTATTTTATTATGAGATTTAAATAATAGGTTTAATTTTTGGGTGACTAATTATTCAATCCGAATATAGTTCATCTTCATAATAAACCCAATCATTCTATTTTTACATTTAGGCTACCTATTCTATTATTCAATTCCATAGTTTTTCTTTTTATAAAGCCCAAACCTACCCTAAACAAACCTAGAATATAAATATTTATTCAATCCCCAAATTTTTGTCACCCAAAAGGTCAAATGGTCAAGGTAAACAACTTTCCTTTTCATTTTCTCTTTTTTCTTTCTTTTTCTTTTTTTCCCTTTCTTTTCCTTTTCTCCTTGTTTCTCACAGGAGCTGCCACCCAACACTGCCGCTGCCACCACCCCACTGCTGCCGCTGCAATCTCCGGCCAGCAGCGTTTGGCCGCTAGCCTTCCCCCTCTTAGCTTGGTTCCTTTCTTTCTCTTCCTTTTCCTATTTTCATTTATTAGTTTAGTTTTGATTTTATTGGTTTTAAAATGATTAATTTAGTATCAAATCATGCTTTAAATGATTTAAAGATATAATTTCAGATAATTAATTTGGTTTATTATTTTCAGATTTTGATATGATTAAAGTTAGGGCTTCTAATTTATTCAAGACTTGATTTTTAGGGTTCTTGTTTAAATTGATTTAGGGCTTCTGTATGCCTAATGATTCTGTTGACTAATTGGGCATAAAAGTATGTTTTGATAAAGTTTTTAACGGAGTTTTAATCAAATAATGTTGCTGGAATTTTATTTAAAGTAGTAGAATTGTGATTTTAATAAAAGGGTTTAATTACCCATTAAAGAAGAGTTGAATTAGAGGTTTTTAAAAATAATTTTCAGATTTTTATAAGCTGTTTAAAGTAAGTTTAAGTTGCTGAAAATTGTGTATACAAGGGTAATCAATTTAGTATTATTGTCCCTTTATGTATGAGACTTGGTTCGGGAATTGTTGTAGAATACTCGGCTATTTTAAGAGCTTATTTGAGGTACGTACGCGTACTCGAAAATTTATTAAGCATGTAGAACATGCTAGGATTTATTTAATTGATTCCAAGTTAGTGTCATGCTAGAAATTGGCTGGAATGGTTGATTTGAAATGAGATTGGTGATATGAATTGAATTGATTGAATTGAGAATGGTTTTGGTGATTTTTTTGTGAAGCATGATTGGTTCAAATGATTTATTTATTGGATTAATGATTGAAAATCATTGTTTGACATGTTGTATATGAACCACACTTTTATTTATGACACGATAGAAAGCATGATAAATTAAACTACATGTTAATTGAGTTCGAAATATTGAGAAGGAATTTTATTATGGTTCATATAAGTTTTATTGATGTTGTAAGCATGAGGAAAGAGCTATTTAAGTGTCTTTGTACAAAAGGAATGAATTATATTTTGGTGCCTTAGTGCAGTTAAGGTGTTTTCAACACCGAGGGATAGGATTTGTGGCGCATGCATTATGCGTTTAAGGTGTCTTTGACACCGAGGTAGTTTTAAAAAGGGTTCAACATTAAATATTATGTGGTCACTAATTATTCAAGAATTAAATTGGTATGTTTGATTGTTTGAATAATTATTATGATTAATTGTATTATGGTTTGAGAGTCATCACCAAGTCTAATAATGTGTGAATAAGGTAAAGTGAAAGAAATTACGCATCAAAACTCTTGGAACTTATATACCTTGAGTATGAACATATGAGGGGAATTATGCGACTTTATATTTGACAATAACTTCTACTAGGGGTACAAGACATTGTGCATTCCATTTTTATTATGCGCAGGAATTCCGCCACTTAGGAGTGATTCTTTTATACTGGCACGGTTAGCTCTCGTGTTAGTACCCCTTTATTGGGGCAGGTTAGGGGGAAACCCGTTCGATGCATAATCAAGCTAATTAATAAACTAGCTATGTATTATTTGTTCATTGAGTATGTGGTATGCTTATAAACAGGTGCAACAAGGTAAGTTGTGTGATGATAGGGTGAAAGCATGTTAGTATGTTTTATTTACGCTTATGTACTCAACATTGCTGATTGTGTGTTTGGATGTTTGTTTGGCCTTGTCTTTATCTTGGCCCTACGATGACCCATTTCTAATGGCGAGTAGTGGGGGACAAGTAGAGAGAATCTTTTCAGGTGATGAAGCGTGTTCATGAAGGGCATGAGTGAAGAGCGAATCATGCTTAGTTCCCAAAGGAATATGATGTGTTTTATCGCTTTGA